GCAAAAACCTGGAAGATGTACATGACATGGGTATATCTCTACTCACAGGATGTGTCAGACATGTAATTGGAGTTTTTCAGTGCAGCAAACTTATTTTTTGTGTGTGTGTGAAAACGTTTTTTTTTACCCATCTCTGCTTAAAAACCACTCAGATATTGCTGGGCCTACACTAATTGTAATATATTTATATATGTTAGCTGCAAAACATACTGCTCAGCAGCTTTAATAGTCTCTCTCCAAATGTATGCCTTCCTAGGGTCATTACTAACAACCTGGAAGTGGAGGGGAAGGGTACTCAACTCAAATTATCTGGTGAGGACTCTGTACTCAAAATACCATAGAATAAAAAAGAAAAGGGGCCTTACAGATAATACACTGATCAACCACAACATTAAAACCACCTGACTAATATCGGGTAGGTCTCCCCCACGCTGCCTCTGATGTCGCTAGGCATGGACTCCGTAAGACCTCTGAACATGTCCTGTGGAATCTGGCACCCAAGACATTAGCAACAGATTTTTTAAGTCCTGCAAATTGTGAGGTGGCACCACCATGGATTGGATTTTTGTTTCAAAACCATCCCACAGATGCTCAATCAGATTGAGAGCTGGGGAATTTGGAGGCCAAGGCAACACACTGAACTCTCATGTCATGTTCCATAAACCATACCTGAACAATTTTTGTAGTGTGGCAGGGTGTGTTTTCCTGCTGAGAGAGGCCACTTTAATCAGGGAACACCATTTCCATCAAGGGAAAGTTCGTGGTATGCAATAATCTCTAGGTAGGTGGTACGTGTCACATGAATGCCATAACATCGGTTCCCCAGAACAGCAAAACAGTGCCCAGAGCATTACACTTCCTCAGCCAGCCTGCCTTCTTGCCATAGTGCATCCTACTGCCATCTTTTCCCCAGGTAAACGACGCACCTGGCCATCCACCTGATCTAAAAAAAATGCATGATTCATCAGACCAGGCAACATTCTTTTCATCAGGGGATCATCAGGGGCCAAAGCAAACTGCGATGCACTGTGTGTTCTGACACCTTTCTATCATGGCCAGCTTTATGTTTTTCTGCAATTTGAGCTACAGTAGCCCTTCTGTGTGATCAGACCAGACAGGCTAGCCTTTCCTCCACATCAATGTGCCTTGTGCGCCCATGACCCTGAGGCCGGTTTACTGATTGTGCTTCCTTGCACCACTTTTGGTAGGTATTAACTACTGCATACCAGGAATATCCAAGAAGACTTGCCGATTTGAAGATACTCTGACCTAGTCGTCTAGCCATCACTATTTGGTCCTTGTCAAAGTCGCTTAGATCGTTTTGTCCTGCTTCCAATACATGAAATTCAATAACCAACTTTTCTCTTGCTGCCTAATATATCCAACCCCTTGACATTGTCACAATGTAATAAATGTTATTCACTTTAATGGTTAGTGGTTTTAACGTTGTTGCTAATCAGTCATATTAGCCACATTTTTTTAAAAGCAGGGTAATAGATCAGCTTGGCAAGAAACAGTTACAAATCATATAAGGCTGCTTAATAAAAAGGGCAGATTTACAGCCCCCAGTTCATTTTTTTCTCTATACAGATTTGGAATCCTGGATAGAAACCTTGTAGCTCAGCAAGTCATAATATCCAAGAATTGTTGATATTGCATACTGGTGCAGTTACTTTTGGTTTCTATATATTTTTCTTTAGAATCTGTGGTAGCACCATTAAAACAAATCATATCCTTCAAGCTGAAAGACTCCAGATGTGGTTTCAGAGTGTGTGGAAAACACAAAGGAGAAGATAATGCAAAAAATGGAGGTAAATATATTTATTAAAAAATGTTTAATTGGGTAAAATAAAAATATGTAATATTTCACAGTCAGTGAACTTCTGTTCTACTAACCAATTCCAATTACAGTTAAAGGGACACTACAGTCACCAGAACAACTACATCTTAATGTAGTTATTCTGGTCAGTATAGTTATTCCCTGCAGGCCTTTTCATGCAAACACTGCATTTTCATAGAAAATTGCTGATGATGTAAGCCATAATCATTTTATGACAAATCCCGGCTTGAACTATCTTGCTTTGCATTTAATGCGTCTATCACATATATTAGTTTCCCCTTTTACATTGCATTACTGAAATAAAATAACTTTTGCACGATATTCTAATTTTTCGAGTATCACCTGTACATGTGGGGGAAGGCTGCTTGTGGGGTATAGTTGTGGAGGAAATAATGCTTATAGGGTTGCATGTATGGAAGGGAGGCTGTTGTGGGGTTCTGTGTGTCGTTAAGTCTGTTTGCAGTGTAGTGTGTGTATAAGAATGTAACCAGGACTGTTTTGGGGGGGGAACAGGTGCAGCTGACTACTGGGGGATAGCGGCAGATGGTTGCATTTGGGGTAATAGTCTATACTGTGTGTCTGGGAAGAAAATTGGGGCTGCAGAGTGTATATGTGTAAAGGGGGAATAGATTTAGTAGGAGGTTAGAAACTATAGTAGTGGGGATAGAGGATGCAGAGGTGGATAGGGGCTCTAGTGGGTAATAGGGACAGTATTAGGGAATAGGGGTTATCCTGACCTTTGAGGTCTGGTGGGATGTTGTTTTCTTGTGGATGCAGACTGCTCCTTTGGCCAGCTCTGTGAAATGCTGCTGGACACTACAACAATGCTCTGGCGCAATAAATCAGGGCCAGTGAGGGAGATCGAGTAGAGCTATTTGTTTGGTCCACTGTAGAATGTGCTGGACAGTGAGGGAGAACTTTGATCTTTCCACCAAATGCACTCTTCTTCTGCCTGCCATCCAAAGCTGTGGCCACAGTTTCCTTATGGCAAATCTAGTCCTTTTTGTGACTAAATAGCCAGTCCTAAAAGTTACTTAATGCTACAAGCATGGAGTGTTCGGCACACTCATCATGAGTGAATTTCTACTCGCCACTGCTGCATTTTCACACTTCAGTGTCGAGTAGATGTGTGGTAACCTTGAACCCTGCCTTAAGTTATATCTCAGTAGTAGAAAGGGTTACAATACACACAAACATAAGTCCTGTGCTCAGATTCTCACTACTCCTGGCCTGGCAGCAATGGCCATAGAACACATCAGCCCCAATACATACAATAAAAACCAAATAAATTTACCTGCGCTCTATCCCAAATCTCTATGCATATTTAAATAACTGGATGTTTTTCATATCACTCCAATGGACATTAGATTGAAAGCTATCCAGCCACGTCACCTCTTAGGTTGGTCCTACACTAACAATTCACCTTGCTTCAGCTTTAGGTGAAAAAATATCTCATGAGACAGAGAGGGGTATTTTTCTTAACCCCTACATACTTATTAACCCTTAATAAGGAACATATGGAGTGGGCGGCAGCACTGTAATATGGCTGTGTGATATAAAAAGCAAATACAAATCCACAAAAACAAGTCCTGCGCTCAAACTCCCACTACTTGTGAGTGACAGCAATAATCATCGTACACATCAGCCCCAATACATAAAAAAAAAAAAAAAAAACAAAGGAAAAAGTTACCTTCACTCTCTCCCAAATCCCTATGCCTATTTAAATACCTGGAGTTTTTATTTTGTATAACTTCAATGGCCATTAGATTGTAAGCTTCCCTGCCACATCAAGGCAAACCACTTAGGGGAGTCCTACATCTCAGTGGTAGAAAGGCTTAACATACATGCACACTCCTTGTCACTATCAACTTTGCAACCTCGAAATGTTTCTTTTTTCTGCATCTTACAAACAGTGTTCTCCAGAATTTGCAATGCTTTTCAACTGATATGACAAAGTAATATAAAGTGACCATGTATAAATATTAAAATGGTTCTTAGCATTAGATATGTCTATGTTTGTGTTTGAATAGTATTATAGGGAATGTTGTAGATGGGCAGCAAAAGATTTTAAAATGTACTTATTTTTGTTTTACCGGCTCTTGTACTAGTTCTATAACTTATGCATTTGCTTGGAATAATTTGCCCAAGTCTGCTATAAGGTGTGGCATAAATAAAAAGGATGTCGTGTTTTTTTCAGTCATCATGGGCAATCGGTCTCACATCCATTGCTTTATTTAATGGGATACTCATTAAAACCACTTTAGCTTAAAGGATTACTCCAGCCTCAGTGACTACTTCTGGTTTTTTTTGTTCTGTTCCGGACTGCCTGATTTTAATTCTATGCAAAGATTACATTATTATTGGTTAAAATATAAAATCAAGGTGGAGTAACACTTTAATTAATCAGTTTTATTGTATAGCATAGATCATGCCATGGTCAGTCTCACTGCTCAATTTTCTGCCATTTAGGAGTTAAATCACTTTTGTTTCTGTTTATGTAACCTTAGCCACTCATCCCCTGGTTGCGACTCACACAAGCAATAGTCTAATTTTCAATCATATTTTACAGAACTGTGAGTTTACATTAGACGTTCTTATTAATTGAGCAGTGAGACTGAAAGGACATGATATATCCACCAAACCCGTTTCGTTAAGCTAAAGTTGTTTTGGTGCCTATAGTGTCCCTTTAAGCTAAAGATGCTGTGGTGCTTATAGTGTGTCTTAGGCTGAAAATTTGCTCTTATTATTGTATTTCCGATTTTCATGTATTTGTTATTAGGTTCAGTCACTATTCAGTAGGTGGTATATAACACTCTATTTTGTTGCTGCCTTAGAATCACAGGAGCATTTTTCTTCCAGCCTTGACTATGGTCCAGTGGATCCAGTACACAGGAACACTGCCAGTCATAGTTTTGTTGTTCACACCATCTGGGATTTATTTCTAAATTTTTATCTCTAGTCATGTTTGTGTCAGCAATTGCTTTAGTAGATTTGTGTTTTTGTTTATTTCCAGGTTAGCCTTCATGATCAGTGTATATTTATAGCACAATATTGAAACTGCAATGTCTGTCATCAGTAGTGATGTCGCGAACCGTTCGTGAACTTTTCGCGAACGGTTCGCCACAGTTCACCTCGAACCGTTCGTGGCGAACTCCGGTCAGCTGACACATCCCGGCCAATCTCCAGCAGACCCTCCCTCCCAGACCCTCCCACCTCCTGGACAGCATCCATGTTGGAGGCAGCTTCAGCATGGATGCTGTCCAGGAGGTGGGAGGGTCTGGGAGGGAGGGTCTGCTGGAGATTGGCTGGGATGTGTCAGCTGACCGGAGTTCGCCAGAACCGTTCGCGAAAAGTTCACGAACGGTTTGCGACATCACTAGTCATCAGTAGACTTTTTTCCAGTTATATCTTTGTTGCATCAGCTTTCTGTGCTTTTTATCTTGCACATCACTCTATTTTTACATTTCATACCATAATCCTTCACCAGCATACTATAGCTTAGTTCAACATTCTTGGACATTCTCCTCTTCTTATTTCCTGGAAAAAAACACTATGCCATATACCATAGTTTCGGACTCATTAGTGTTTTGCAATGATTAACCCCTTAAGGATGAGCTAATTGTACAAGTTTCACATTAAGTGCACCCACACTTATTATATATAATTTTGATCAGGGGAAACAGGGCTTTCATTTCATATCAAATATTTATATGTGAAACCTAACTGAATGTGAATAAAATCTAAAAAAATTGAAATTTGCCAGATTGATTTGCTGAGACCGTACAGTAGCTCAGGAATGAAAATTAACCTCATCATGGCATATCATTTGTAAAAGTAGACAACCCAGGGTATTCAAAATGGGGTATGTCCAGTGTTTTATAGTAGCTGCTTAGTCACAAACTCTAGCCAAAGTTAGCGTTCATATTTGTTTTTTGCAGTTTTTACACAAAAACTGCACTTTTATTGGTGATATCATCATCGTGATAAGCTTTACTGTTTTATAACACACATATTTGTGTTCAGCGAAGTCTCCCAAGTACAAAAGTACCCCCCATGTCCAGGTTTTATGGTGTTTTGGAAAGTTACAGGGATAAACATAGGACTTACAAATTATATTCTCTGGACTTGCTGTCTGGATTGTTAGGCTGGTCCCTCAAAATTTTAAAGTGACTTAATTATGTTAAAATATTACATAAATATACACATAGAATTTAAATATATATACATATATGTGTATTTAAATCCTACGTGTATATTTATGTAATTATATCTATTTGTATGTATATATTTTAAAATTTTTGTATATATATATATGGGAAGGCGGAGCCTGGAGTTGGGGTAGGGGTTGATCTGGCCTATATAAACTCAGACTTACCTTCATACCAGGCCGACGACTTTTTGGTCACTTCCGCTTCCGGTTCCAGAGACAGTCTTCCTCGTGGTTTCTTGGGCCTACCAGTGGTTTTTCCAGACTCCCAGAGCTTCTCCGACCCCAGAAAAATACCCTCCCGTCGGCCGCATCAACTGAGATTCCTTTGCGCCGCGTTCCCGGTACTCTTTACGCACTTCCGGGTCGGCCGTCAGGCACCCGGAAACAGTGAGTACAAAACACACGAATTACGTGCTTACACACAAACCGCGCTAACTTGTACGAATACCTCTCTATACGAACGATTACTTTAAATGCAACTAGTTACATAGGCGGTTTATACGAACAATTTTTCAAACGACCGGGTATCTATATGAACGACTGCTCATACAAACGGCCACTCATACAAACAGCTATTCATACGAACAGCTGTTCATATAAACAGCTATTCATACGAACGGCCAGTCATATGAACGGCTATTCATGCGAGCAGCGGTTCATGTAAAAAGCTATTCATGTGTACGGTTAATTACACGGGCTGATATTTATTCGAACAAAACTCATACGAACGGCTAAAGTTATACGTACGAAAAAATATCAACATTGGTGAAGTTCATGAACCATTCATACAAATGGAGGTTTTCAGACGAACGCATAGTTCACGAATGAACACACTAAAGAACAAACGTACGAACATGACTCATACACAGAGTCTCAAAACTACACCGCCATCTACTGACAAAAATCGGGCTTCACAGCCGCAACAATTAAACAATAATGAGCCTACAACAGACACCAAAACGGTTATGCTTACTGTTCTAGGTAAAACATATATTGCTTAAATATGGTTATGGCTTAAATAGAAATGCATTTTATTTCGGTATGATAAATAGTTTTGCCGCACACTTTGCAAATGTTGCTTTATTTAACAGGTTTTTACTTTTACCCTCCCTGACTACCTACGATAAATCCTAATCCCAAACCCTATATATATATATATATATATATATATATATATATATATATATAAATTCAGTCTCAAATTTAGCTATTGTCTTTATACGATGTCTTTTCAGTATGAACTGCTATCAACACAAATACTATTACCAGACAGATAGGTACGCTAAACGATAGCACGTTTACGAATCCACAAACTACCTGTAAGTTCGGTCTATACGTCACATATATAGTAATAACATTACGCGGGGGTTAAACTCCCTTACTAAAAATGAGTCATAAGTTATATAAGATGCCTACCCCTGATTAGGTCAAATAAGTTAACTCTCACTTCAATCCCTTAACTCAATAGGTTAAAACAAAAAACGCTTAGTTACCCCTCAAGCAGAATACTATTCATAAAGGTAGGTATAAAATACAAATATATTTTAAGTATCATATACAGTGTATATAATTAAGTTTATTTTAGGTCTCAAAGACAACTGTGTTCAGTTACGCACTTACTATGTCATGGAATAAGACCCTCCATTAACTTACAGGTACGCACGGTCACCGGTTACTTTTCCCAAATACCTTTAACTAAGAAGTCACCCAAGTTCAGAACCTAGATTGTCACATAGTCTTTCTGGGGAAGGCACAGGTATGCAACACGGGCGGTTGCAGTATCAGTGCCTGCAGGTTGTGGCATGTCTGTGCCATCTGCTTCAGAGCCCACGCCAAAACAATGTGCCCTAATCGCCTATTGCCCAAAAAATGACTAACGGAGGTACAGGTTGATACACTAGCCTTTTACCTCACCACTCATCCATCCCCGCACTTAGTCAAATTCCTAATCACGGGCTTCACCGAAGGGTTCCACACTGGGCTAATTGCACTCCCCATGGATACGCTGGAATGTAACAATCTACAGTCGGCAACTTTAGACCCCACCACAGTGGATACACTCCTTCACAACGAAGTTCAGAAAGGCTTCATGATCGGGCCATTTCATATGCCCTCGTTCACCTGTTGGCGTACCAATCCTATAGGTATCGCCACAGGGAAGTACAATAATAAAAAACGCTTGATCATAGACCTGTTGACTCCTTATTCTATTGTCACACCTAGCCTCAACGTACTCATACCGTTAGACGAATTCTCCTTGCAGTATGCCACAGTAGACAATGCCATACAGGCAATATTGGAGGCAGGGAAAGCAGCGTGGCTGGGGAAAACAGACATTCCCAATGCCTTCAAGCTGCTCCCAATACACCAGTCACTGTGGCATCTACATGGAGTAAATTGAAAGTACTATTTTGCTGTTCGACTAACTTTTGGAGCAAAAAGCAGCCCAAAGTTATTAGATTTATTCGCAGAGACACCAAGTTGGTTGTTGTTAAATATATATGGGGTTGTCCAGTTGTTATCCACTATCTAGATAACTTCCTTACAGTAGAGAAACACGAGTCTGTCCCACTGAGCATTACTAAAACTGTGGCCCTATTTGCTACTCTCGGAGTACCGGTTGCCTTGGACAAAACAGTGGGGCCCGTCACTAAATTGTCTTTTCTCGGGATATGCCTAGACTCGGTCCCCATGCAGGCTAGCCTCCCCGCAGACAAGGTTCAGAGAATCAGGACAGAGATAGACCTGTTTCTCAACAGAGGTACTACCAACCAGAAAAACCTACAGTCTCTACTTGGTTCTCTGAACTTTGCGATGAGAATTATTCCTCAAGGACGCTCGTTTATATCTAGGCTGCTCAGCCTACTACCTAATGACCTCAGCACAGTCACTCTCGACCAACATGCCAGATCAGACTTGGCTATGTGGAGACAATCCTTGTCTCAGTGGAATGGCATAAATATGTTCATTCCACCATGGACAGAGTTTTCCCCAGTATTATGGACTGACTTAGCAGCCCACTCAGGGTACGCAGCCATTTTTGGGACAGGTGGTTTAGAGGCGCATGGCCAGTTAAGACTACTTCACTATCCTCGTTTAATACCACTTCCGCACTGTTTGAAGTATACCCTATAGCTTCTGCTGCTAAAGTCTGGGGATACCTTTGGAAGGGACAAACCATCAAATGCTACACCGACAATGCAGCCACATGCGAGATCATAAACAAAGGCAGGTCTTCCACATTAACCATAATCAGGAGACTAGTGTGGCTGGCAGCCACTCTACACTTTCACCTAACGTGTGAGCACATACCGGGCCACCACAACACCGCAGCTGAGCCCTGTCTCGCTCTAATTTTCTGATGTTCCGTCAAGAACATCCCACAGCTGAGGTAGACCCACACAACCCTCCGCTATTCCAGCACCTCATCCTGGACTGAACGCACTCATGGCACACGGTAGAATGCTAGCGCAGTCAGCACTCGCTGCAAACACCAGACGTTCATATAACCGAGTCCTTACTATTTTCAACAGGTTCATCACAGAGTACAAAATCAGTAACCCATGGTCCTTAGACTCCATGGTGGCATTTACTTATTTTTGCCACCTACATTTGAAACTAGCACATAATACCATAAAGTTATACCTCACAGGTATACAATATCACCTCACAAACACGTATCCCAGTCACAGCACCTTCATGTTAACTAATCGTATTCGAAACATTTTAAAAGGCATCTTACGACTCAAAGCACAAAAACCCACTAAACGCCTACCAATAGATGCAAACAAGTTTCGGGCATTATCCGATAACATTATTTGAACACGAAACAAACAGTGCGGTAAAAATGGCTTTTTATCTAGCCTTCTATGGGTTCTTAAGACCAAACGAGTTCACCACTATCCAAACCTCGCATACCATCAACATGCTTACTATGGCAGACCTCAACAACACTGGAAACCACTACGTGTTAACACTTCGACACTCCAAAACCAATCAAACGGGACCTCCTGACGAAATACCAATATACCCCACAGGTAACAGCTGGTGCCCCACGCATAAAGATACAAGATAAAAACGCCCTACTACTACATCTACACGGCAATCCA